TTGTTGTTGTTGTTGTTGTTGTTGTTGTTGTTGTTGTTGTTGTTGTTGTTGTTGTTGTTGTTGTTGTTGTTGTTGTTGTTGTTGTTGTTGTTGTTGTTGTTGTTGTTGTTGTTGTTATTGTTGTTGCGTGCATCTGCAGTGACGACGGGAGAGCTATTGTCACTCGCGTACCCTCACACGCGTACTTTGCTCACCAACCCCTTTGTTGCAAGCAGGTGTTTCGATCATTGTGTATGGCGAGAACGGCGACACTGGCGAGATCAAGCTTGCCAAGAGCGAGACGTATCGTGACAAATTTGAGCGGTGCGTTGACTGTCATGTGCTTGTGTCTGGCCTACACGCGAAGGACAACCCCGTGAACCCATGCACACGCTCCCACGCTGTCCATTGCTCCACATGTGTCTCAAAGTGTCTCACTGCCACATCTTAATGACACCCAACACATATGCACACACACCCAACGCACATGCACCTCCCCCCCCCCACATACACACACCTGCCTTCCATTTCACACCATGACGCCCATCGCCACCACCACAGGAACCACGAGGATGTGTTCCGGCACAGCTGCGTGGACTTGGGCGAGCTGAAGCGAATCAAGATCTGGCACGACGGGAAAGGGCTCCTCAAGTCGTCGTCGTGGTACCTTGACCGTGTGGAAGTGAGCGACGACACGAACAACACCACCGTGTTCGTGTGCGACAACTGGCTGTCTAAGAAGCACGGCGATAAGGCAATTGAGCGCGAAATCGACGCGTTTGTCGACCCGTCTGTTGCGCAGGCGCGCGCACAGGACTTGGAGCGCAAAGCGAAGAAGTTGGAGCAGCGCGCACGCTCAGCATCAACCAAAGGCGCACCGTCACCGCTTATGTCGCGGAAGAAGAAGAAGGAGCTCAAGGGCCTGCAGGAGAGCGCAGATGCGGCGCGGGCAGAGGCGGATGCAGCCGCAGACAAGGCGAAGAGGGCGCTGGCGGGGCCGGGCGCTGCTGAGGTTGACTACGTAATCACCATCAGGACAGCAGAGGAGAACAAGGGATCATCGACCAAGGACAAGGACAAGAAGAAGAAGACAAAGAGGAGCAGAAACAGGACAGGCAGCGGCGACAGTGAGGAGGATGAGGAGGATGAAGGGGATGACACGCGTGGCGCTGAGAAGAAGGAGGCCACAAAGACGCCCAAGCACGTGTATGTGGAGGTGTATGGCGAGAAAGCAGCTCAGCAAACGGCCGCGCTGTCTGCGTCTGCCTCACCCATGCAGAGCAAGCGACGACCTCGCTCCATCTCCAACGCATCTGTGTCGTCAACACCACCACCACGGTCGCCCCTGTCGAACGAGAGCATGCCCACGTCCACGGGCCGGCTTGTGCTGCGTGTGGACGAGGGAGCGTTTGCCGCCGGGAGCGAAGAGACCATCACGGTGCGCGGGGTTGATGTGGGGCGCATCACCAAGCTGAAGGTTGGGTTTGAGATGGACGATGCAGAGGAGAGCGAAGCAGAGGAAGACAAAGAGGAGGATGAGGAGGATGAGGACGAGGACGAGGAAGAGAAGAAGAAGAAGAAGAAGGAAGAGCAGAGGAAGAAGAGGGCCGCATCTGCGAGCTCACGTCGATCACGCCGACGAAAGCGTGGCAGCGATGACGACGAGGAGGAGGATGATGAGAGCGATGAAGAAGACGACAGCGATGATGATGATGATGATGATGATGATGATGATGACGAGAAGAAGAAGAAGCGTCCACCGACTGCCTCTCGCCGCGCTGCTGAACGCAAGAAGGAAAAGGAGCAAAAGGAGAAGGAAGAAAAAGAGAAGGAAGAGAAGGAGAAAGCAAGGCAGGAGAAGCGGAGAAAGGCGAGGGAGCGTGAGCGTCAGCGCAACAAGAAGCGCGCAGCTGTGTCGCCGTTTGTGTGGCGGTTGGAGTCCGTGGTGGTGAAGGTGCCGGCCAAGGGAGAGCGGGCCGTGTTTGAGCGCAGCAAGGAGAAGTGGGTTCGTGCCAAGAATAACCCCAACAACCGGCACCTGCTGTTGCCCTTGACAACTCTGGATGAGCTGAACAAAATGGTGGACTATGAGCTGATTGTCAAGACTGGCGACAAGATGGGCGCTGGCACGTCCGCTGACAGCATCCAGTTTGTGGTGTGCGGCGAGAAGGGCACAACCGATACCATTCGCCCTGCGGCAACGCACAGTTTTGACCGCAACAGCACCGTGCACATGAACGTGCGCGAGCGAGACGTGGGGCTCGTGTCCAGCCTTCGCGTGAAGCATCGCAGCCGTGGCCTGGGCGGTGCGTGGTTTCTCGACCGCATCACGCTGCGCTGCCCGGAGAAGAACCTGGAGGCGACGTTTGTGTACGAGGCGTGGCTCAAGGCCAAGGAGGAGGAGCACGATCTTCTTCCGCGCGAGCACGATGACGGTGATGATGTGTCGATGGCAGTCAGCTTGACCGGCAATGGCGACGACGATGACACGGCGTCTGTTGGCTCGCAGGCACTGCTCGGTCGCTCCACGGGCACCGTCAAGCTTCAGCTCAAGTCTTACAAGGTGTACGTGAAGACGGGCAATGTCTCTGGCGCGGGCACAGATGCGAACGTGAGCCTGGTGCTGTTTGGCGTGCGCGGCGAGTCACGCACGCTCAAGCTGACAAAGTCGGAAACGCACCGCGACAAGTTTGAGCGCGGGCACACGGATGTGTTTGAGGTTGAGGTGCCGGACTTGGGCCAGCTGACGCGGTGTCGCATCTGGCACGACAGCGCACGCCTGTACCCGTCGTGGTTCCTGGAGGAGGTGTCTGTGGTGGAGGTGGACACGCAGTCGTCGTATGTGTTTCCCTGCTACAAGTGGCTGAGCAAGAGCAAAGCAGACAAGCAGGTGGTGCGGGAGCTGCTGTGTGCCGACGCAGACTACCGCGCGCGCACCGGCACGTACAAGGTGACAATCCACACAGCAGACACCGACGATGCGGCAACAACAGCGCAGGTGATGGTGACGCTGATTGGCGAGGGCGAGCGACGCCATGCGCTCGTGCTGCCGTCGGTTTCCGGACAGCACTTCCAGCGTGGGGCTGTGGATGACTTTGTGTTTGAGGACATCCCACTTGTCGGAAGCGTGCGCGGGTGTGTGTTGGAGCTGTTTCCACCAGAGGGCAAGCGCAAGGTGGTGCCGTGGCGCGTTGACCACGTGGAGGTGGCTGAGCTGAGCTCGGGCGACTCTGTCACGCTGTTTAACACGCAGAAGAAGAAGACGAAGATTGAAGAGGTTGCCACGTTCAAGACGAAAGACGCCCTCAACCGTGCAGACACGGAGCGCAGCGTGCAGGCTGTGCAATACGAGGTGAGGCAGGCATATTTGAGCGTCATGGTCGTAATTTGCTCGTGTTGTGTGCTGTGTGTTTTGTGTTTTGTGTGTGTTTTGTGTTTTGTGTGTGTTGTGTGTGTTGTGTGTTGTGTTTTGTGTGTGTGTTTTGTGTGTTGTATGTTGTGTTGTGTGTGTGCATTGCAATTGCAATCACAAATTGCAAGTGCGCCGACATGCTCGTCACTCACCATCACATTTGTTGCGTGTATCGTTTAGGTGCACGTGTTCACGGGCGACATTCGCGGCGCTGGCACCGATGCGAGTGAGTGTGTGTGTGCATATTTGTCATGTTTGTGTGCATGCGTGCTTGTCATACGCAAGCCTCTCTATGCGAACGCAGGCATGCAGCGCTTACGATGCTGCTTCAAATCACATCATGTGTGCGACATGCAGATGTGTTCATGACGCTGTATGGCGAGAACGGGAACACGGGCGAGCGGGAGCTGACGCGATCGAAGACTTACAGCAACAAGTTTGAGCGCAAGCACGAGGATGTCTTCGACGTAAGTCCTGGTGGTGTGCGTGTGTGTACGTGAATGTGTGTACGTGAATGTGTGTGTGTACGTGAATGTGTGTGTGTGTGTTTACGTGAATGTGTGTGTGTGTGTGTACTTGTATGTTGTGTGCATGTGCTTGATGCGTGCGAATGTGCTTGTGTGGTGTGCGCACAATGCATGAACTCACGCCATCATCATAACTACATATCGTGCAGGTTGACGCTGTCGATCTTGGCGCCCTCACCAAGCTGTCAATTCGGGTAAGCGCACTGGTTGTTGAGAGGTTGTGGTGTGGTGATTTTGGTTTTGTGTTTGGGCTTTTTTGAGATTTTCACGCACAACCCACCACTCATGTTCACGTGGTGTTGCAACTGACTCGCTCACACGAATGGCATGAACTTGCTTTTTTGGCAACACTTGGGGACTGACTGATCACAGCATGACAACTGGGGGCTTGGCGGGGACTGGTTTCTTGACCGCATTGAGGTGTTGAATCCCATCACCAACACCACCACCACGTTCCCTTGCTCCGAGTGGCTCAGCAAGAAGCGCGGCCTCTCCCGTGACCTCACACCAGCATAAACATGTTGCATGTGTGTAGTGTGCAGTGAGCGGGTGGGTGAGTGGGTGAGTGGGTGAGTGTGTAATTGAGAGAGAGAGAGAGTGTGTGTGTGTGTGTTTCTTCTTTCCTTCCTTCTTTCTTGTTAACTTGTAGTTGATCTGATTTTTCATTGCTGGGACCAAGCTTTGCTGGTTTTGTTACTCGAACCCAAGTAGTGAGTGCTCCTAACGATAACAAGATGTGTTCACCACGGACAAATGAAGAAGCGAGTGCAAATCAAGCAGGAAGAGGGACAACCAAAACAAACACCGCTCACAGAACTGCCGCGAAGCACACATACACACACACAGACAGACAGACAGAAAGAAGACACACATGCACACAGAAGCACACACACACACATACACAGAGGGACACACACACGCACACACGTTGTGTCATCATGTAACAAAGCAACGGCCCCTTAGCGCACAAGCACAGCGCATCACTTTTTGCGGAGTTGCTCGGCCAACTGCTTGTTCTCCGTCTTGAGCGCTTTGAGATCGGCGGAAATGCGATCGAGGTTCTTCTGGGTGTCCTTCCGTTGCTCCACCTCAATCTAAAGGGGTGTTGTGGTTGTGGTTGTGGTTGTGGTTGTTGTGGGCAGACACGGGGGGGGGGAAGGTGAGGCACGACATGCAAGGGCGGTGTGATGGTCGTCACGCACGACAACTGGAAGAGATGCTGGGGCCTCTGTCCGCTCAACTTTCCTTTTGTTCCATTTGCTTTCCTCCCCCCCCCCCTCTCAAAGACATCAGCACCACCATCAGCACCACCACCACCACCAGTACCTGGTCCTCGAGATCGCGAATCTCGCGCGCAACGGTGCCGGTTGACTTGACGACGTCAATCAGCCGCCCGCACTCCGCGTGCAGGTTGGCAAGATGCTTGTACGCCAGGCGCGCTGCAGGGTTTGCTTTCGACTCCTGAAAGAGGAAAAGGCAGTTTCGTGGGATGGGGAGTGTGTGTGAGGGCACACACGCACACACGCACACGCACACGCGCACACGCGCACACGCACACGCACACGCACACGCATTTCCACACATGTACGCACTCTCGCGTTCCCCGTATCGCTCGCTCTCTCACTCTCACTCTCATGCCACATTCCCTCAGCGCCAGCCGACCTTGAAGATCTCTTCCTCTGCGACGGTGAATGTGCGCTCGATTTTGCCCTCCAGAAGACCAAGGTCCTTCTGCAGCCCGCGCGTCTCAACCAAAATCTGCAGCAAGTGATGATGATGATGATGGGGAAGGGAAGGCAAGGTGGGTGGAAAGCGAGTTGTGAGCGGGGTGTGACGTGTACATGGTATGGATGAACAACGCCCCTGATGGTGAACGCGTGTTGCGTGCGTGTCTGTTCCCACCTTTTGGATTTCGCGCTTCTGCTTATCGATGGACTTGACAATCTCGAGGATGCGCGACGTGTACGAGGAGCGAAGAATATCCTGATGACGATGGGAGGAGGAGGAAGATTGCATGTGAGCGCCGATGGTGTGGTGAAAGGGAAGTGAAGGGGAAGGGGATGTGCATGAGCATTGACCGTCGTCAACGAATGAAAGAAGACACAGATATGCCCAAACACACAGACACACAGACACAAACACACACACAGACACACACGCACACACACACACACAGACACACACGCACACACACGCTTCACCCCTGAGCAACCTTGTTCATGCGTTCGTAGTCCTGCACAAGCTGCTGGAAGAGCTGTTCCTTCTGCTTTGCGTCGGCAATAATCTGTTTGGCCTGCGAGCGCAACTCCTGGATGCTCTCCGCTTGCTTCCGCGCCTCAGAGTTCTTGTTCGCGGCAGCAACCTGGCGGCCGATTCGGGCGCACGGAAACGCGCAGAACACGCGAGCGTGTGTTGGCATGGTGTGGGGGGAAGCAGGTCAGGGCAGCGCTCGTGCGAAAGCACACACAGAGAGCAGTGTCCCCAAACGACGTGTACATGAGCAAACGAAACAACACCAAACACCATCAAGCAACACACCAAACGACATTAAATACAACCTTGAGGTCTCTGTACTCCTTGATGAGAGCGACGCGGTGCTCCTCCCATCGCTCCGCCAGCGCCGCCAACTTGGCTGCCACCTCGTCAATCTTGTCCTTGAGCAGCTGCATGTTCTCCTCCGCATTCGGCAGAAGATCAAGCACCTGCCGCGGTGATGATGATGATGATGATGATGATGATGATGATGATGATGATGATGATGATGATGATGATGATGATGATGATGATGATGATGATGATGATGGTCGTGGTGGTGGTCGCGCATCAGGGAATCAGGGAGAAGAAGGCAGTGGACTACACACACGCGGACAAAACTCATCATGCAAGCGTGGGCATGTGCACATCTCTGCGCGTACCCTCTTGCGAACTTTCTGCTCCTTTGTGAGTGCCTCGTTCTCCTCCTGCATGCGTGCTGTTTGCTCGGCCAGCGCCTCCGCTGTGGACTGCAGTGATGCAAGATTGTCGCGCATGGCCTGCAAGGACGACTCCAAGTCCTCCACTTCGCCCTGCAAAGCGGACAATTCGTCCTCCCGCTGCTGCTTGAGTTCCTCATCTGTCACCGTCTTTGTCGCCGCCACCGCCGCTTCGTCCTCCTTTGCAAATTGCAGCTTGTGCTTTGCACGGAACATGGACATCTTGCCCAGTTCAATGCCTGTGCACGCGCACGACAGTCAGCGGTGGGCGAGGTTACATGTGCCAGCAAGCGTGTGTGTTTGTTGGGTTGATCAAGATGGAAGGAAGCGAAGGAAGGAAGGAAGGAAGGAAGAGAGGAAGGAAGGCAACAAAGAAGCTGCGTACCGGAGAATTTGGCGAGGAACTTGGCCATGTCCACCTCCTGTTTGGCGTCATTGAAAAGCGCCGCCTTCACTTTGGCGCTGATGGTGCGACGCGTGGTGGTGCGCTTCTGCCGGACGAAATCCTGTCGCCAAATTAGCGGTGGCAACATCGTCAAGTTATCTCAGCGTGAGCTCACGTGCAGCAGCTTGTACACGTACACACACAGACACACACACAGACAGACACACGCAGGCATACGGTATGCGACTGTGTACAACTGTGTACCTCGTTTGGCAGTGCGGGGTCTCTGCCTGCGGCCGTCAGTTCTTCCTCTCGCGCCCGCTCGCTCGCAAGCAGACGCGAATTGCGCGCCAGAATCGACTGCACACGAAGGGCAAAGGAAGGGGGGATGGTGTTTGCCGTGATGATGTTTGTCGTGATGGTGTTTGTCGTGATGGTGTTTGTCGTGATGGTGTTGGTCGTGATGGTGTTTGTCGTGGTTGTTGGTTGAGTGAGTGGGGTGCACTTGAAGGGAAGAAGGTATACGTCCGCGTGATAAGTGCATGAACCACGAGGCAAACTGTAGTCCACGCTGGTGTGACATGAGGATGACTCGTTGGGGCTTACGGCAAGGGAGGATGTGGCGACGCTCCGCTGCTGCGGTATTGTCTGCTGGTTCGTCGTCTCGTACGCGGCGCGGGCTGCCGTACCACATAGCGATGATGAGGACGCGGACAAGGGGGCGGGTGATGTGGACGTGAATCAGAGGCTGCCACGTTGCGCACACACAGGTGCATGCAGACCAACAAAATGAAACACACACACACACACACACACACACACACACACACACACACACACACACACACACACACACACACACACACACACACACACACACACACACACGACAACTGACCGGTGTTAGCGGCGTCCATCTCTGATGTGAAGAGGGTGGTGGAGCGAAACGATCGCACGCCGCGTCGACTCTGATGTAATACACGCAAGTGCGCGCGCATGTAGTGGTGCGTGCAGATGAGTGCACGTGTGCACATGTCGGTAAGTTGACGCGTCGTACCAAGCAAGGCCGCTCGCAACTTGACTAAACAGCACCACGAGCACGATGACCGTGACTTCCACAACCACCACAATATGTGCACTGCAGCGTATGGCCTCACGATGAGGTGCCAGGCGGTGCGGTTGTTTGACCAGCAGAGGCCATCGCGGTGGAAGGCGGGCGGGATCCATGGGCACGACAGCTGCTTGTCAATCTCAGCAGTGATTGCCCGCTGCAGCATCGCCTCTTGTCCTGTCACACACACACACATACATACATGCGCACACGCCGTGAGTTGTAAGGGGTGCACGTGAAGGTGAAGGAAGCTGAACATGCGTGTGTGCTTGTGTGCAAGTGAGCGCACCAAGGGTTTCGGCGCCTGTCGTGGAGGTGGTTTCCTTTGGAAGACGCTCAATCAGCCTGAGGAAGTTCAGGTAAAGGCAGAGAGACATGGCCGCGCCATCGCAATTGAGGCTTGACTTGGACCATCACGACTGCCACAACCGCCGCCACCATCGCTATCAACACATCACCAAACTAGCACCAGCACCATCGAATAGCGCGTGGATTGGTTGCACACAGCCTGTACACTCGCATGTGAGCTCAGCCGCCATACCACATGAGAAGTTGTCTGCAGTCGTCCTCGTTTGAGTACAGGAACGTGTTGTACCCAATGTTTGAGCCATATCCCAGGTCCTGCAGGCAATGTGCCCATCACAGGTGTGCACTTGTCAGGCAGCAGCGACACTGAGCGCGCACATGTCTCGAACGCAAGCAGCTGACACGCTTTCCACCGACAGAGCGCTCATGTGCGTGTACACAAGAGAGTCTCAGGGCTGTGTTCGTTCGTTTGTTCGTGTGTGTGTGTGTGTGTGTGTGTGTGTGTGTGTGTGATCGTGTGTGTGTGTGTGTGTGTGTGATCGTGATCGTGTGTGTGAGCGTGTTTTGAGGTTCGTGCGAGTGTTCACGCACCTGGCAGGCAGTTGCCAGCGTGGTGCCGACACGGAAGCGAGCAGCCATGCTTCCTGGCAAAGACAGCGGCATCTGTATGACGAGTGCAGCGACCATATCAGCAAAGGATGGTGAGAACTTTGTCGGTGTCATGACACGAGCTGCATTGGATGTGGGTTGGCAGTACCTTGACGTTTACATGAAAGCGCGCACACTAACATGCACAAACAAGCACAAGCACAAGCACAGACATGGCCCGGACGTGCCTCATCGTTGCCGTTGATGGTGTTGATGCAGCGTGCCGCGCCTTCCACAAACGCCTTTGTGGGCAAGTCTGTGCGCGGGTATGTGCGTGTGCGCGTGCGTGTGCGTGTGTGGTGTCAGCGTGGATGTGTGTGTGTGTGTGCGCGTGTGTGTGCGTGTGTTGTGGTGTCAGCGTGGATGTGTGCGTGTGCGTGTGTGGGAGAATCATTGCTTGCATTCAAGCCAGCAAGCAAGTGCGCAAAGCCGTGCACAAGAAAACCAACAAACGAGTGAGACGACTCACCTGCGAGTGAAGCGACATCCTCTTCCACGTCCGTGCCCAGCTGCCGCAGCGTGAGCAGGATGATCTTGTCCACCTCATCCATCGTGAACAGGAAGAAAGCGTCAGTCAGTGGAGTTGTGGAGTGCTTTGAGTGAGCGAGTGGTTTGTTTGGTTTGGAGAAAGGAGGCGATTGTGGAAGATTTGTTGAAGAAGTCCATAATTTTCAGCATAACCGCGGCAGCGACAACAACCAACTCGAGCGAGACCGCAACACCACACCATACACACACACACACACGCGAACACAGACACACACACGCGAACACACTCACAGACACTCACACACATCGTCACACACACATACATACATACATACATACATACATTCACAGACGCAAAGAGAGATGGATCCGAGTGAGGTGTTGTCACGCAACTTGGACAGCGTACCGTTGATAGACGAGGCCATCTTTGCGCAAGTGCGGGACATTCCGGACCTGTTCAACGACATTGTTGCGAGCGTGCAGGAGAAAATCACCAAGCTGCAAGGGCTTCGACACCAAGAGGTGTTCACCGCAGAGACCATGAAGGACTTTGGAGACACTGCGCATTCTCTCAAGAGCGGCATGTCTGTCGTCGGCTGCTCTCGCCTCTCTGCCCTTTGTAACAAAATCGGTACGATGAAGGAGTGCGTCCTTGCGATGTGTGTGCGTATGCATGTGCATGTGTGTGCAATGTGTTTGCATGTGCGTGCGTGTGTGTTGGGGATTCCATGTTGACACAAATAACTGCGGGTTCACGCGATTGCTGCGCTGCCCATGCTGAACGAGCTGCATGCATGCTGTCGTCAATGCCAATGTCATTGTCACCGTCATCTTCATCAATGAGCCCTTCACCAACTCTTCTTTGCCACCTCCTTCCGCATACACACAGAATTGCTTGGGCGACCGGGACCAAACCAGGATGGCATGGCTCTCATCAACACATACGACACCTTCATGCAGCCAATCATACAGGTGTGTTCGTGAGTTCGTGAGTTAGTGAGTGTGTGTGTGCGATTGTGACGCTCAATGTGATGCACGTGTAGTTGCCAGACACCCCACCCCCCTCCTAAGGGTGCCCCCGTGTGCCTTCCATTCACTCGATGCGTGTATCAGCACCAAGACACATACACAACACACACACACACACACATACACACAAGCTGTGGTTGCTCACATGCGTGTTGGTCTGCGCGCATTTGTACGCCATGCAGGAAACGATGACGGCGCTCCAGTGCAGGTTTTATCCTCAGTAGCACGGTCAACAACAGCGACCATGAATGTTGCCCGTAGCTGATCCAGTTTTAGTCGACTTAGTCCTTGCTTTTCTGTGGTACCTCTTGGTTTTGCTGTTCCTACACGACGTGTTGTGACGAGTGCTGACGTGCATATCTGACCTTGTTTCTGTCCGCTTTCATTCTCGTTTGGATGTGCGCTTGCTGTCTCCTTCTGTCTCCTCCTCCGCCGCCTTCGCTCTGCACTCCTGCTTTTACATTAAGTAACACACAAGAACGGTGGTCAAGCACAACACTTGCACGCTGCGCGAGAGCAGCCCGTTTGTCTTTGCCACTTGGGCGGCGGCAAATCCATGTTTACCACTTGCTTGGCGAGTTGGCAAAACAGCGCGCCAAAAACCGCCAAAGCCAAACACGACCAAACAGCAGCAGCAGCCACGATGGAGACACTGCTGCAGAACGTGGAGGAGCTGGTGCAGGATCAGGATGAGGTGGTGACATACAAGTTCCTCAGCTGCAAGTTCCAACTCAACGTGAACATTGCCAAGCAGTACGTACGTGGGGGTCGGGGCGTGATTACTCTCTCTGTATTGCTTTCTTGTGTGTGTGTGTGTGTGTGTGTGTGTGTGTGTGTGTGTGTGTGTGTGTGTGTGTGTGTGTGTGTGTGTGTGTGTATGTGTGTGTATGTGTGTGTGTGTGTGTGTGTGGCACAGATCATCCACATGGGTCCTGTGCTCACTCGCCGATTCACTGGACCTGTGTCTGTGGCAGGGTGTTGTATGCATACGTGCAACAATGCAAGAAACAAAACCATCCTGTGTCATGCATGTACCTCTTGGGAGGAACGCGAACAAAGGCCGCGGTAAATGAGCAACACTGCTCCAAAACATGCATGTCTGTGTTGACGATCTTGTATTCCATCGTCTCTCTTCTGGCTCTCTCTCTGGCTCTCTGACTCTCTCTTCCTCTCCCTTGCTCTCTCACTCACTCACACGCTCCAACCTTGTTGATTCGCTTTTGTGTGCGCTCGTGCTTGTGTTCTGGCTGCTAGGGTGGAGGCCGTGTCTTCCAGCTCGTATCAGACACCAATCTCGCAGGTGTGTATGTGTGTGTGTGTGTGTGTGTGTGTGTGTGTGTGTGTGTGTGTGTGTGTGTGTGTGTGTGTGTGTGTGTGTGTGTGAAAGTGAAACCAAGCGTCAATGTGCGCGCGTGTGTGTGTTTGCCTGGTTCTGTCTGTTTTGCGCGCTTCCCCAGTGAACGTCACTGTCAAGTTTCCACATTCACATGTTCACACCCTTTTGCCCCCCCCCTTTCCCCCCACACACAGAGAAGCGCAAGGAGTTTGAGCGAATCTCATCAGAGCACATCTACAGCGTGTGCAAAGCTCAGCCCAAGGTAGCGTCAGCGCTTGTGTGGCAATGCTGCATGCACGAAACCACTCGCGTCGTTACTTCACATCATGCCAACCGTCCCTCCCCTCCTCTCTTCACGCTCTTGCTCACTGTGCCCTCCCATCCATTGTGTACTCTGCTCACTGTGCACCTTTGATGTGCCCGCTAACCCTTGCAGGACGTGTCGACGGCGGTGTATGCTGCGGACTACGCGCTGCAGCGGGAGACGCTCGACTCCCTGGCCGGGCTGTGCGGTATTGTCAATTCGAACGTTGCAACAAAGCACTCCTTCACAGAGAGCACGTCGACCGCAGATGTGGCAGACACTTTTGGTGCGCACATGAGACATGCCGTGGTGTTGTCCCGCTTCATGTGCGTGTGTGTGTGTGCGTGTGTGTGAGTGTACGTGTGTGCGTCCTGCGTGCGCGTGTGTGTGCGGTGCGTTTGCGTCGAATGTTCTCACACGCGCGCGTATTCACGCATGTGCGTCCATGTGCGTACTTGAACAGACGAAGAAGATCCATTGCAGCAAGCCGTGGACGACCACACAAAGCGCTACAAGATCAACGAGGGAACACTGGTGCGTGGCAGCATGCGGTGTACACGACATACACTGCTCACACCGTCGCACATATGCGCGTATGCAGGCTTCCAGTTCTTGTGCTCTTCCCCACGCAAACTCAAACGCGCTCCCTCCTCCTCCTCCTCCTCCTCCCCCCCCCTCTCCATGGGTTACATCATGCGTGTAGGTGAAGGAGAAACCGTCCAGCTTTTTCACATCGCGCAAGAAGAGCCAGACACGAAAGAGCAGCAACAGCGGCGGTGGTAATGGCGGCAACGGGAGCAAGAAGCAGAAGAACAAGAGGACGAGTGTGCAGAGCAGTGCAATTGGCAAAGCGTTCCAGCGGCAAAGCAGCAAACCCTCCGCCGCCCCTGCATCGCGTGTCTTTGATGATGACGAGGACGATGAAGAGTTTGCACAGGTCAGCGTATGTGCACATGTGTGTGTGTGTGTGTGCGTGCGTGCGTGTGTGTGTGTGTGTGTGTGTGTGTGTGTGTGTGTGTGTGTGTGTGTGTGTGTGTGTGTGTGTGTGTGTGTGTGTGTGATTACGTGGGGTGGGGTAGCACCCGTGTGCAATCGTGCAAGTGCCAATCGTTGCACATGCTTGCTCTCACCTGTGCCTGTTCACACCCATGCGTGATAACACCCGTGTCTTCTACACCTTCTTCCCCACTGTAACAACAACTGCAGCCCAATCCGGTGAAGACGAACGCGCGCGCGCGAATCATCGACAGCGATGACGAGGACGAAGCAGAGGAGGCACCCAAGCAGCAGCAGCAGGAGCAGCAGCAGGAGCGAGAGGAGGAGGATGTCAAGGAGGAGAAGGAGGGAGGAACTGCACAGGTGCAGAGCACGGCAGACAGCGCGATGGATGAAGACGCAGATGAGACAGACGTGGAGGACGAGGAAGAGGGAGGAGAAGAGAAGCAAGCAGGGAGGGAGGGCGAGGAAAGAGAACAGAACACAACGATGGACACGCATGCAGACGAGAAGAGCGCTGGGGCCACCAACAAACCGGCTGCTGCGGCAACGAAGAAGCGTGACGAGGAAGAGGCTGAGCAGAACACAGCGACTGGCGCTGACGATGCAAGTACCCGTGACGGTGATGCTGGTGAAGCTGACGATGAAGAAGACATTCCACGCACCAAGACGGTTCGCAAGACAGTCCGCAAGACGTTTCGCAACGACAAAGGATACATGGGTACGTGTGCATATGTAGTGCACGTGTGTGTGTACATGTGTGTGTACATGTGTGTGTGTGTGTGTGTTTGTGTACATGTGTGCATGTGTGTACATGTGTGTGTGTGTGTGTGTTTGTGTACATGTGTGTACGCTTGTGGATTAACGCGTTCTGCCCGATGCCACTCAACTCTGTGCACGACCACCGGCACGCGTTCTGCCCGATGCCACTCAACTCTGTGCACGACCACCGGCACCCTGCAGTGTCCAAGGACGTGGAGGTGGTGGAGGAGGTGCCGCTGACAGAAGCAGACATTGCTGCCGAGAAGGAGCGACGTGCAAATGCAAAGCGGAAAGCGCAGCAGGCCAACAGCAGCAGCAGCAGCAGCAAGAACAAACAGGCGTCATCATCGTCATCGTCAGCGGCAGCTTCTGGAGCGAAGAAAGCGAAAAAGAAGGCGAAGCAGGCCTCCCTCATGTCTTTCTTCTCAAAGAAGTAGTGTGTGTGTGAGTGTGTGTGTATGTGGATGTGTGTGACGAGTGTGTGTGGATGTGTGTGTGTATGTGTGCGTGTGTGGATGTGTGTGTGTGTGTGTGTGACGAGGGAGCGTGTGGGTTGGCTCATGACGTCGTGAAGCAGAGCTGATGGATGAAGGTGAGGGGGAAACGGGTCGCTGGTTCAGTCACGGCTCATAAACAAGCAAGCAAGCAAGAAGAAGGATGACAATTCAGGACAACATTGCGGAACAGGTGCACACAGACACACAGACACACAGACACATACACACACAAACACACAGACACACAGACACATACACACAGACACACACACACACACACACACACACACACACACACACACACACACACAGCGACGATGCACACGCTTGCTCCCTGCGTTCTCGTTGCACACCACTCACCCCCATGCTCCCTGCGTGTTGTCGTTGCAGCTGGAGGAGTGCGAGTCGCTGCTGTGCATCTTCGAGGATGAGGGCTCATTGACTGTGGACGCGGACGCCGTCAGCCGCTTGTCGGATTGGCGGCGTGCGTTGGAGACGGCCACTGCCCACACCACCGGTGCGGGGGATGGGGGTGACAATGCGCAGCGCCACTCTAGCAAAGGACAGCAGCAGCACCCGCCAGCAACATTGACATTTGTGGCAAAGGTGAACACGGAGCACGCAGGCAGTGTGGAATTGAACATCACCCTGCCGCCCGAGTATCCGGCTGAGGCGGGCCCTCAGCTGTTGGTGCGCTGCCCATCACACTCGCGTGCCGTGTCCGATGCATTACAGCAGCGCCTGCTGACCCTGGCTGCAGATGAGTTTGCAGGGGACTGCTGCTTGTTCCAGCTCATCGACGCCGTGCCACAGCTGGTTGAGGAGGTGGTGGAAGAAGTGAGCGCCGCAGATGGCCGCAGCAACGGCGACAACAGCAACGTGGATCAAGACACTTCCCAACGTGGATCGAGCAACACAGGCAAGCACGACGGCTTCATGCGCCAGTTCATCTACTTTCATCACATCTACAACAAGTCCAAGCGACGAGACATCCTCGCACACGGTGTGTGCGTTGTGTGTTGTATGCGTGTGCATGTGCATGTTGTGTGTTGTATGCATATGTGCGTGCATATGTGCGTGTTGTGTGTTGTATGCACATTTTGTATGCGTGTGTTCTTTGCGCCCTTAACCCTCGCCAGCCTCTCTGTGTTCCTCCTCTGTCTGCCCTCCCTCCCCCACTTCGTGCATACTCACATCGCCCCCTCCTCCCTCCTCCTCCTCCCTGTTCCAACTTTCTCTTCAGCACACGAACTCGACCTGAGCGGCTTCTCTGTTGTCGGCAAGCCGGGACTGGTCTGCATTGAGGGCGTGGAAGCGAACGTCATCGACTACACCCATCGCCTTCGCCGCCTCCCCTGGCAGAAGATGCAAGTCAAGGTGCGTCAGATGTATCTGTGTGGAGGTGTGGGTGTTTGCGTGCATGTGTGTGTATCTTTGTGTACCTTTGTGTATGTGTACACATGCTGATTCGCCACACCTATGTTGTCTCTCTCTGTCTCTGTCTCTGTCTCTGTCTCTCTCTCTCTCTGTCTCTCTCTCTCTCTCTGTCTTTTGTCTCTGTTCACGCCACACGCGACTTCTAACACCACCCCCGCGTCCCATGTTGCCTGTGTGCGTTCTTGTCGTCCAAGCAGGTGACGCAGACAGTGGCGACCAGTGATGTTGAGAGCGAGCGCAAGTTCCCGCGCATGCACGAGCTGATTGTCGACGCGCACGGACAGCGCGGGAACCATGCGGATATGGGCCAGGTGCGGCAATATCTCGAGGAGCACGGCCTTGGCGACGTCTTTACACACATCTTCGCTGTCGGCAGCTAGCTATCTAGTTTCCCATGTTTGTTTGTGTGTGTTTGTGTGTGTGTGTGTGTGTGTGTGTGTGTGTGTGTGTGTGTGTGTGTGTGTGTGTGTGTGTACTAGTGTTTGTGTGTGTACTAGTGTTTGTGTTGTTTGTGTGCGTATGTGTTTGTGTATTTGCTTGTCTACCACATGGCGAGGGCGCGTCCGGTGTGCAGTTCGTTTCGTCGTGTGTCAATGATGTATCCTCCTTCGGTGCTTCACGTCATGGGTTGCCTTCTGCATTTGCTGCCACTGTTACATGCCAACAATAACATAAGTGAACCAATCCATATGCGCGCGCGTGTGTGTGGGGGGGGCCGTGACACGACGGCGGCAACGCTGCCTCGCCCACCATCACAACACCGCTCAAGGACAAGCAATGCAATGCAATCCAGCCATCTTCATTCATCTTCATTCATCTGTCTGCAAGAATTGCACAGACTGGTCAGGTCCAAGATGAAGAAGATGAGGGTGACAGTGGCGGTGTTGGGTGTGTTGGGCGTGTGTGTGGCTGTTGCTGCTGCTCAAGAAGCAGGGAGCCAGACGGGACAAGACACCGTGCCAGCGCCACAAGGGTACCACCACCAGCAGCAGCAACAACAACAGCAGCAGCAGCAACAAGAAGTGCATCGGGGACAAGATGCAGTCCCCGGTCTGGGCGAAGACAGAGCTGCAGAGAAGGAGGCCATCGTCTTTCCGGGTGAGCCACCGCTCGTGGCACCGAACCAGCCCCGCAGGAAGCTGAACATTGGCATCACCATTCGCTTCTCCGCAGAGAGCGTCTTCGTTGCAGGTCAGTGCAGCAGGGTGAACGAGCCCAAGTTGGAAGTTTGCTTGCGCGCTTGCCTTTACACCACGTGGCAAGGGAGGCGGGGCGGGAAGCAATCGTGCGTTGCACATGCTCGACGTACTCAATGTGCTGCGCGCGTGATTTCTGCCTCACCCATGCCTTGCGTCTTTGCGTCTTTGTGCGCGCGCAGGATCACTGCAAACGCCGCTTCACCTGTATGATGCCCTCACTTATGGCGACCGCCATCGCGTCACCCTGCTCAGCGTCGGCACGGGACATCGTGAGGTGCGCGTGGTGTTGGCGAACGCTTTGCTGTGGCATCTTCTCTCGAAGAGCCTTGTTGGATGCACACACACACACACACACACACACACACACACACACACACACACACACACACACACACACACACACACACACACACACACACACACACACACACACACACACACACACACACACGTGTGCGCAGGCGCGTGGGTGCGTGGAGCGGTTCTCTGCGTTTTCGCCATCGACGGCGGCGGCGTGGGACGCGGCGCTGATGCAACTCGTGGACACACGCACGCCATGGCGATGATTATGATGGTGGTGGTGATGACGAAATCGTGTTCGAGGTACACTGCGTTGCTCGTTCTTTATTGGGTGTTACAATTTTTCCTGCGACAAACGAATACACAGAGCTAAAACTCCTAAGAACTATCTTTCAGGCACATCACACACACAACAACAACAACAACAACAACAACAACAACAACAACAACAGCAGCAGCAGCAGCAGCAGCAGCATCAGCAGCAAAGGCGTTTGCTTACTTGAGCAAGATGATGATGATGATGGCTGCGAGTGCGATGAGCACAGATGCGACCATGACGCCACGCTCATCCAAGAACGGCCGCTTTTTCTTGGCTTTGGCCTTGAACACCCCCATCAGTTCCGGCTTGTATGTCGGCGCCACAGCCTTCTTCCTTTCCCTCTCCTCCTTCTCCTGCCTCCGCATCCTCTCCACCCGCTGTTGCTCCTCCTCTTCGTGTTTCTTCGCTGCTGCCGCCGCCGCCAACTCGTCCTCCATTCGCTGCTGCCGCTCTTGTCCAAATACCACGCGCTCAACCTGCCACAGCTCCCGCTTGCTGCTGCCTGCAAACCGCACCACGACGTCCACTGCTACGCTACCGTGTGGGCCTTGTTTCGTGCCTGCAGGCACGTGCATGATGGCACGCCCTGCCTCCCGCGAGCTGCACACGAGCGTGGGGCGAGTTGACAGCGGGATTGCCCTCAACCCCATTGTGTCGTCGTCAAGCACGTCCTCCTCGTCCTCATCGCGCGGTTCATCTGCGCCGCGGAACAAACAGCGCACGCGAGGGCCACCAGCACCATCACCATCACCACCACCGTCATCGTGGCCAGGCTTTTTCTTGATTTTCTTCTTCTTCACCTGCGTTGGCGCGGCGGCTGCTGCACCTGCTGTGGCTGCTGGTGTTTTGATCAGCACTTCTGTTGTCTCTCCGCGCTGCTCCTCCACGCGCACAACCATTGTGTCGTCGCTCAGCCGCGAAATTCGAATCGGCGCTGGGCGGCGACCAGCAGACGTGTCTGTGCGCACGCGCAGCACATCTGAGCACTCGCCCCAGCCCTCCTCGTTCATGGCCTGCGCCTTGAAGTGGAACTCCACACCCGTCTGCAAGCGGTTGAACTTGTGGCTCCGGCCCCTCACGTTCTTCACCTGCAGCGACAAGCGCCGTCATGAGGAGGCAAGCACAAGTGTGCATGTGAAGGAGTGTGCGCAATGTGAGTGAGTGAGTGTGCGCAATGTGAGTGAGTGTGCGAGCGAGCGTGAGGACATTTTGTGCGCACGTGTGGATGTACATTGGCTGTCAAGCTTGTGCCTGCCTGGACACTGCAGGTTCGTGTGCCCGCGACTCCCTTGACAACTGACATGAACTCACACGTCAAAACGCTACACACCTCCTTAAAGTCCTTGTCGTGCCCCGGTTTCATGTACAGCCGCGTGCGCACGACGCTAAACGAGGGCGCATCATGTCGCAACAACGGATGTGAGGTGGTAGAGTTGGCGACAAACAAGTGAATTGTACACCATGAGCGAACAACCAATATCACGTGCAAGCCATCACCGACGGCCCAAAGCAGTCGCATCGGCACGTCCTTTCTCTCTCTCTCTCTCTCGCACATCTTGTCGCCCCGCCGTACATGACAGCATGCCCCTCCACGGTCATTGGCGTACTTGTTGTCGGCGTGCGTCCACGCGAGCTTGATGCTCGTTGGCTGCACCTCCTCTGCTATCAGCGCGGGCGGTGGCGGCGGCGTGTTGCGTGTGCGGCCCTCAACGTACGACGAGAACGAGCCAAAGCCGACGTGATTGCGCGCGCGAACACGGAAGCGGTAGCGTTTGTCCGGCCGGAGGCCATCAAACACAACAACAGCACCACCGGGGCTGACGGGTGTGGCTGCGTCACCGTGCGCGCTTGTTGCAACGTCGCTTGAAGCCAACACCTTCTCTTCACCGTTGCCCTCGACGCTGTCGCACAATGGTGCAAAGCCAACAAACAGAACAAAGGGGTTGTGGTGAACGAGTGAGGGTGTGAGTGTGCGAGGGTGTGCGTGTACAG